CACTTGAGCCATAGGCGCCGAGCCAAAGCAGTTTTCTTAGAATAGATAGATCTTAGTCTTTAGTAGAGCTTAGTAATCTTCAGCAGAGAGATGCCGTGCTGGCGTTCTGCAGGCAGGAGAGGAGACAAGAGTCAGAGTAAGTGAGCCCATGATAGAATGTGCATGCTTTTTGTCTGCCTTCTCCTCCAGCCTAATATAAGGCTGAGCTCATGCCGCTCAACACCACAGGTGTAGAGATTGCCAATTCACCAATGCTATCATCTCGCGAGCTCTCTCATGCTTGTTAGAACTAAATCTCTCTCCATGCCCTTTTCACCAAAGTATTCCATTACAGGTATTTCCTATAACTCTCACTCCTCCTAGCCATAAGCTATATGGGCTGCTACACTTATGGGCTGGCTTACCCTTATATACCTGATCCATCATTGACCAAAATGTTATATGGTGTATGACTGTACTTATTCTTGTGATATTAGGAAGGGGGAGGGGTACATAAAAGCAATATTTTCTGATTTAAAATAACTGGGTATAAACTTTGCCCTGATATTTTAGTTTTAAGGTAACAGACTTGGGGCCCTCTTCGATCCCATTTCTCATAATGAGTCTCTCAGTTTACAGAAATGCTTTCCCTCGGTTGCTTACCTAGAATATTCTCATCCAAATGATTTTTTGCTGAATTTTTCAGCAGCTCTTGCAAAAACGCCATCAAGTAGTTGAAGACATTTTTGTGGAATGTGGGGAGAGTAGAAATGACCTGAATGAGAGAGAATTGTAAATTGTCTTATTATTCATTCATTCAATACTCGAGTGTCTACTATACTCTGAGAAGTGATTACGCAATCTAAGTACATGAGCAAAACTGCTCACAGGAAACTTTGATGGCTGACCACTTAGCATAAGTACCAATAGAGAAGCATAGGTCAAATGCTTTATGAATTCAGAGATCAAACTTTTAACGGCTTGTTCTCAGAAAATTTAAGGGGAAAGAAGACATTTTAGTTGGGTTTTCATACATAAAAAAATTTGGACGTACAGAGGTAAGGACTAGGGTATTTAGGACAAAAACAAAAAACCAGCAAGAGAAGGAAAATAGGTAAGTACAGAGAATACATCACAAGAAGGCAATTTTGGCAGGAACATAACTGGAAGGATTGATCAGGCTAGAATTCAAGGAGCACCCCAGCCATGTGCATAAAAGAATTAGTTGGAGAACTTGTACAAAAGAGATCCCAATTCAGTGGATTTGAGATGCGGCTTTGGAACCTGTATTTTTTTTTTTGGAAACAGAGCCTCAAGCTGTTGCCCTGGGTAGAGTGCTGTGACGTCACAGCTCACAGCAACCTCAAACTCTTGGGCTTAAGTGATTCTCTTGCCTCAAGCCTCCCAAGTAGCTGGGACTACAGGCGCCCACGACAAAGCCTGGCTGTTTTTTTTTCTTTTTGGTTATAGTTGTCATTGTTGTTTGGCAGGCAGGCTGGATTCAAACCCACCAATTTTGGTGTATGTGGCTGGTGCCCTAGCTGCTGAGCTATAGGTGCTGAGCCTGAAACCTATATTATTTAGCAAGTTTTTTGGATTATTGTGCCAAGGCTTGTTGTATTTGTAAACCACCAGGCCAGATCATAAAAGTCTTGAATATTGGTTGGACTGGTTGGTGGGTTATGCCACTCTGGGAGGCCAAGGTGAGAGTATCACTTCAGGTCAGGAGTTCAAGATCAACCTGAGCAAAAGCAAAAACCCCATCCCTACAAAGAAAGTAGAAAAATTAGCTGGGTGTGGTAATATGTGCCTGTAGTCCCAGCTACACAGGAGGCTAAAACAGGAGGATCACTTGGGCCCAGGAGTTTGATGACGCTACTATTTCCTAGCCTGGGCAACAGAGTGAGACCTTGTCTCCAAAAAAAAAAAAGTCTTGAATATTTGTTTCAGAAAATCATTGATTGGCTCGGCACCTATAGCTCAGCGGCTAGGGTGCCAGCCACATACAACAGAGCTGGCGGGTTGGAATCCAGCCTGGGATTTTTGGTTGTAGTTGTCCAACAATGACAACTACAACCAAAAAACAGCCAGGCATCATGGCGGACATTTGTAGTCCCAGCTACTTAGGAGGCTGAGGCAAGAGAATCACTTAAGCCCAAGAGTTTGAGGTTGCTGTGAGCTGTGACGTCATAGCACTCTACCCAGGGCGACAGCTTGAGAATCTGTCTCAAAAAAAAAAAAAGAAAGAAAGAAAGAAAGAAAATCATAAATTAACCAAGGAAAGCCAAATATGGTTTTTGACCAAGAACACTATGACAAGAACTAGAATATACAATCTGGGGCAGTGCCTGTGGGTCAATGGGTAGGGCACCGGCCCCATACACCAAGGGTGGCTGATTCGAACCCAATCCCAGCCAAACTGCAACAAAAAAATAGTGGGGCATTCTGGTGGGTGCCTGTAAGTCCCAGCTACTCAGGAGGCTGAGTCAAGAGAATCGTCTAAACCCAAGAGCTGGAGGTTGCTGTGAGCTGTGACACCACGGCACTCTACCAAGGGCAATAAAGTAAGACTCTGTCTCTCAAAAAAAAAAAAAAGAAAGAAAAATGAATATACAATCTGATGATAATATGCAAAACAAATCAGCAGAGAGAGAGTCCAAATGCAGGTGAATCAGGGCGAGGGGAATGAGAATAGCAACAAGAGGATGGGTGATAGGTCAATGGGACGGGGCATGTGGGGGGATGAGAGAGAGGAGTCAGAAATGACTCAGGTTTCAGGGTGGAGTCACTGGAATTAAGGGTGATGCCATTAAAAGAAAACATGACATGAGAAGAAGAACAAGTTTGAGAAGAAATGTCCTCATGAATGGGACTAATGCCCCTATAAAAGAGATCTCAGAGAGCTCCCTCACCGCTTCTGCCATGTAAGGACTCAGTGAGACGATGGCTCTCCATGAACCAGGAAGTGGGTGCTCACCAGACTCCAAATGGACTTGCTGACACTGCAATTGAGGGATGAGGGCCACTTTCTTCCCTCAGGCCCCATGTGGCCTGAGGCTAGCAACACGTGTATTCGGATGTTCAGTGCTTCCCCTCACCTGTTTGCTTGCTGTGTAGTTGCCAGAACACTCCAAGCAGTTATAGTAGGCACTGTTACAGATGACAGGCTCTGGCAGGCTCTCTAAGAAAAGCAGCAAGGCTTCGGCTACAGAATGACTGCTGGCAGCTTTTGGCCCATGGTTAAGGAACCCGTGATGCTGCTGCCCACGGTTAGGAGAAGGCCCAGGAGCAAACACATGCCAGAAGTGCTGCCAGCCCAGGCAGGCTCTCTGCTCAGAGCTAGGGTGCCAGCCTAATATCTTGAAGGGGCCACGCTGTCTGTCAAGTGAGCCAAGCCCTCCTGAGCTCCAGCTATAGTAGTTGCTTAGAGTTGCAAAGTCTTCTCTATGCAAACTTTAAGTAAGAAAAACATGACAGCTGAGGACACAATATCAGATGTTGAGCCTTAAAATATTCTTCTTTCCTTTTTCTCATTGCTTTCACTCATATTCTCTCTCTCTCACACACACACATGCACAGCTGAATGTCTGAAGGATACAGAGGTTATCAATCATCCCCGTATCCAAACAGTCCCTGATTTGTTCAAATTCCACCCTCAGGCCTGGCTGCTGAAACAGATCTTCCTACAAAACAGAAGAAAGTCATAAAACAATTATTTTCTAAGAAAATGAATAATGATTTCCTGACCTAAGATAATCACCTGCAAAGTGCAAAAAGGAACAGTATAAGGAGACCTCTGAATCACCCTGGTAGACGATCTGATTTAGGCTGATGTGGCTAATTCATTGTGTAGGCCTTCCCAGGCATGTTTCTACAATAGGTCTTTGGGCATCTATCACAAAACTGTGGGTAGGGCACACAACATGGGACAAGAACATCCAGCATAAGAGAAAACTCATAAGTAGTTATGTCCAGTCACATAAAGGTTGAAAAGATAGGCAGCCATATTACCATTAGAGCTGAGGAGGGATGAACGGGGCAGGGGAGGAACCTGAAGAAAATATACCATATATAAAGCAGAGAAATCTAAATACGAACATCAGTGCTTTGGGCAAACACCACTGTAACAGTAAAGATGTTCCTATTAGTTTCAGGATACTCTATGTCCATGTGTTTTGTAAAATGACTCAATGCCATGTAACTGCATTAAGAATAACAATATGGTATGTATTACTCAAAGTTGCATTTGAAAGGAATTCTACAAGGAAGGTAGAACAGGGAGGTACTAAAGAATGCGACTTCTCGGCTCGGCGCCTATAGCTCAACCAGCTAAGGCGCCAGCCACGTACACCTAAGGTGGCGGGTTCGAATCCCCAGCCTGGACCCGCCAAACAACAATGACGGGTGCAACCAAAAAATAGCCGGGCGTTGTGGCGGGCGCCTGTGGTCCCAGCTACTTGGGAGGCGGAGGCAGGAGACTCGCTTGAGCCCAGGAGTGGGAGGTTGCTGTGAGCTGTAATGCCATGGCACTCTACCCAGGGGGACAGCTTGAGGCTCTGTCTCAAAAAAAAAAAAAAGAAAAAAAAAGAATGCGACTTCTAGAGCTAGATTCAGTGGGTTCAAATCCCACCTCTGCCCACTTATCAGCTTTGGGAACTTAACCAAGTTATTCACATTTCTCTATTTGGAGAAGGGTCTCTATTTCCTCACCTGAGAGCTATTATGAAAACTAAATGAGGCAATGCTGTGAAACACTGAAATAGTGCTTAGGGTGGAGGCAGTTCACATTTATAATCCCAGAACTTTGGGAGGCCAAAGAGGGAGGACTGATGGAGGCCAGGAACATGAGGCTGGCCTAGGCAAGATAGTGAGACTTTGTATCTACAAAAAATAAGAAAAATTAGCCACGTATGGTGGCCTATGCCTGTTATTTGGGAGGCTGAGGCAGGAGGATCTCTTGAACCTAGGAGTTCAAGGCACAGTGAGCTATGATCATGTCACTGCACACTAGCCTGGGTGAGAGCTTGCCTCTTTAAAAAAAAAAAGCGTTTGGTATATTGCAACAGTTAATAAATGTGAGCAAAAAAAGGGAAAGCGGTATGTAAGAATGTATATTTAAGAACACGATGGCCGCAGTAGTGTGTGCCTATCATCCCAGCTACTCAGGAGGCTAAGGCAAAAGTAGCCTGGGCAACATAGTGAAATCTCATCTCAAATTAAAAAATAAATTTTAAAAGAAGCGGGGGTCGGTTTGGCACCTATGGCTTAACTGGCTAAGGCGCCAGCCACCTACACCTGAGCTAGCATGTTCGAATCCAGCCCTGACCCTCCAAACAACAATGATAGCTGCAACCAAAAAATAGCTGGGCATTGTGGCTGGCACCTGTAATCCCAGCTACTTGGGAGGTGGAGGCAGGAGAATCGCTTAAGCCCAGGAGTTTGAGTTCTCTGTGAGCTGTGATGACACAGCACTCTACCCAGGGTGACAACTTGAGGCTCTGTCTCAAAAAAATAAATAAATAAATAAATAAAAATTTGTTTTAAAAAGGAGGGGGGGGGTCCAGGTTTGGTGGCTCATGCTGCAATCCTAGCATTTTGCACTCTGGGAAGACTGCAAAGGAGGAGTGCAAGGATGGATTAAGGTTAGGAGTTCAAGACCAACCTGAACAAGACTTTATCTCTGGGAGGCTGAGGCAAGAGGATCACTTGAGTCCAGGTTTCAGGGGGCTATGATGATGCCACTGCACTCTAGCCTGAGTGACAAAGGGAAACTCTATCTCAAAAAACAAAACAAAGGGTAGTGCCTGTGGCTCAAGGAGTAGGATGCTAGCCCCATATACTGGAGGAGGTGGGTTCAAACCCAGCCCCAGCCAAAAAAAAAGAAAAAAAAGTTGGTGCCTGTGACTCAGTGTATAGGACGCTGGCCCATATACCAAGGGTGAGGTTCAAACCCTGCCTAGCTGAACTGCAACCAAAAAATAGCCTGGCATTGTGGCAGGCACCTGTAGTCTCAGCTACTCGGGAGGCTGAGGCAAGAGAATCACTTAAGCCAGGGAGTTGGAGGTTGCTGTGAGCTCTGTGATGCCACAGCACTCTACCAAGGATGATAAAGTAAGACTCTGTCTCTACCAAAAAACAAAACAAAACAAAACAAAACAAACAGAATGTATGTTGCTATGAAGTGGTAAAGCTGTAGGATTACAGTTTGCATAGGCCTCCCTGGAACCTATGTAAGTAGGTCAGTGAAACTGACCAATCTGACCCCATGAAGCTTGCCCAAGTCATGCTAGAAATCAAGCCTCCAAATTCGTGGTTTAGAGCAGTGGTTCTCAACCTTCCTAATGCTGCAGCCCTTTAATACAGTTCCTATGGGTCACAACCCACAGGCTGAGAACTGCTGGTTTAGAGCCCTCTGGCCCTGCTATTTGTTAACAAGTTAGCCCCTCCCATTCCCAGAAGCTGGTGACAGTTCCTGCAAAGGAGAGCATATGACAGCCTGAGAGGCCTCCAGGGTCCAGGGGCAGAAACATGTTGTGCTGAGAAGGCTTGTCCTATTTAAGGCTGCTTCCCTTGGGGTAGTCAAGTACTATCCTGATAGCAGGGCCTGGCAGGGATTCCCTTCCAGGGGAAGAACCTTCCCCCCAGGTTCCTTAGGGTAAAAGCTTTCAATGCAAAAGGTTCTTGGGGCTGATGGCCTTTCTCAAGGCAACCCAGCTTCTATCAGGTCAGCTTAACCACAACCTACTTGCTGGACAGCATTTTGATACAAGTAATCAACCATCATCCAGAGCTCTTTGGGGATTTCCATGGGGCTCTCCAAGCGGCTCCCATCATCTTCAGTCTTTATTGGCATCAGAGTCTGAAAAGCAGAAAAACAATAAAAACCATGACAAGGCAGCCCAACAATTGAACTTCTGCCAGGCTTCAGGAGATTGCATGATATGGGGATGGCAAACCCATGGAAGAAGAAAAACATTTCAATGACCCTAGCCAAACATATAAAAATTCCACATACAAAATGAAATTCCACATACAAAAATGAAAGCAGGTGGTATAATCAAAGCACAAAAGGTGATTTCTGAGAATTGAGAGAGGGTGATGGCAAATAATTTCAATGAATCAGGTGAAATGTGTACCTGATTCATAAGGGAAAAAAATCGTGCCTGCATCATTTCACTATTAGAACCAGAGGGGTGTGGTCTGGTGAGGAAAGAGCATAGGCTGGGGGGGTCCAAAAATCTGAGTTCAAAGTCCAGGTCCACTGTTAACTCACCATGTGACCTGTGACAAATCACTCTCTTTGATTGGGTCTCTGTTTTCATCTATAAAATGGAGAGTAAGATAGAGTTCAAAACTCCCTAAATTAAAAAAAAAAGCATTGAAAACAAAAGCATACATATTACCATAAATCTGTTCCAAATTACTTCCCTTATATTAGACTTGTCTCTAAAGGAGCCTTTTAGATCTCAGCAGATTTAGTTTTGGATGATAACCTACCAAGTGATGATTAAAAAAACAAATGAACAATATCACAGCCCATGCAAATTTCTTTTTCTCAGGATCCATGGCTGAGTTTTTCTAACATGCTGCTATAGACTGAATGCTTATGTCCCTTGAAAATGCCTGTGTTGAAACCAAATCCCCAAGATATTAGGTGGGAGGTGGGAGGTAGTCAGATAGATCATAAGGGCTCTGCCCTCATGACTGGGATTAGTGCCCATATAAGAGACCCCAGAGAGTTCCCTCACCCCTTTAGCCATGTAAGGAGACAGTGAGAAGACAGCCCTCTATGAACCAGAAAGTGGGCCCTCACTAGATTCCAAATCCACAGGTGCCTTGATCTTGGACTTCCCAGTCTCCAGAACTATAAGAAATAAATTCCTGTTGTGGGTAAGCCACCAGATCTATTGTATTCTGTAATAGCAGCCTGAACAAACCAAGATATGTACTATTTGTGAAAGACTGAAAAACATGGCTGTAACACTTGGTAGCTTTTCCCATCAAGAAGTGGAGTCTTCCCCAATCATGGAATCTGGACCAGCTTCATGACTTTTTCTGACCAATGAAATAGGGCCGATGTAGAACCATGTGAGTTGAGTAGCCTATGCCACAAAAGGCTGTACGGCTCTGTTCTCATGGTTTTGCCACCACTTAGGGAAGCCTGGGCTAGCCTACTGAATGATAGGAATCCCTGTGGAGAGGGAGGCCCAGAGAATAGCCAACACAAAGTCATGTTTGGGAGGCTACCTGGAGACTTCCAGCCATCACAGCTGCCATCTGTGGCCTAGATGAGACCAGCAGAAGAACCACAATGGAAACGCAGTTGTGAGAAATGATAACTCCCTGTTGTTTTAAACTACTAAACTTTCCAGGTGGCTTCTTGCACAGTACTATATAACTGATACACTAAGCCAGCTCTAGAAAGCAGAAGAATTCTTTTCCTAGGAAGGTAAGTATAGGAATATCTTGTTTGACTGGCTTGACTGCCACAAAGTCCTAGATGTCTGCTTGTGGCATGTTACTCACCAGCTCACTAATAACTTCAGGTGGTAGGTCCAAGATTGGCTCCCTCATGTAGCACAGGGTATGAATGGGAGATCCAAAACAGCTGGGCAGGTAGTTCCCAGACACAGACAAAAAGTAATCCTTTCCCCTGTCCAAGTGCAAAACCAGAATATCCTCAATTTTGTCTTCACCCGAGTTGAGCTTTGTAGCTGTGGTCTTATTTACAAAGAGCTCCAATTCAATCTCAATGTCAGAATCTGTAGTAAAGTAAAAAGAGTAATTTTGGGGGGTTGGGGAAGGCCAAGAGGAAAGGAGAAAAGAAGATAGGAGGGGCTAGTCACTGTGGCTCATGCCTGTAATGCCAGCACTTTGGGAGGCCTAGGCAGGAGCAGAGCTCGAGGCCATGAGTATGAGACCAGCCTGGGAAATGTAGTGAGACCTATCTATACAAAAAATTAAAAAATTAGCCAGGCACAGTGATGCATACCTATAGTCCCAGCTACTTGGAAGGCTGAGGCAAGAGGATAACTTGAGCTCAGGAGTTTGAGACAAGTTTGAGCAATAGTAAAATCCCATCTCTACTAAAAATAGAAAACTTAGCTGGGTGTGGTGGTAGGAGGCTGAGGCAGGAGGATCACCTGAGCCCAGGAGTTTGAAATTAAAGTGAGTGATGATGACATCACTGCACTCTAGCTTAGGCAATATAGCAAGACCCCGTCTCAAAAAAAAAAAAAAGCAGACAAGAGGGAAGATGGTTTTATCAGGCAACCAACCAACAGTATCTATATGCTCAGCACTCAAGGACACAGAACAAAAGAGTTTATAGTCCAACTGACCAGATGAAAACAACAAACAAAAACATCTCAATAGACAAATGCTGTAAAATGCAAATACTAAGTAGCGCAGCTCAATCTAAAAATATGAATACAGTAAGAAGGCATGGCTCCAAAAGCCTTCCTTGAACCAGGTAAGATGAAGACACCTGATCCAATAGGAATGTAATACAGTTAGCCTGTGAACTGTTCATAGAACACCCTTCACCCTTCAGTCGCCCAGCACCATCCAGAGGGCAAAGCAGAAGTCAGAGGGACGATGTGGACTCCGGAGCCAGACAGAATGTCTGAGTTACTTCCCCATCACTGTTCCCCACAAGAGCCTAGAACTGGGAGTTGATAATAGTGAGACAGAAAGTGAAAATGGTTCCTTTAACAGCAGCGCCTGCTCTATCATAATCTTATGTTTTTCCCTTCTGTAAATTATGGAACATATAGATGACTAAAAATGTTTTTGAAACTGAACTTAGGCTCTCCACTAGCTTCTATTTTATTTATGAATGGATTCTCCCATAGGACTTTAAAAAAAGTTTCAAGCAGAGAATCAAATACTCACATAAAAAGCTTACTTTAGGAAAATGAGCAAATACAGAGTAGGGCAGTCTCCAAACCAGAAACCAGGAACCTGGGAACTGAGGCCTTACCTGGCAGGAGGAACCCTCTGCTGGGGTTAGCATTCAGCCACTGCTTACAGTAAGACTTTTCATCGGGTTTGTTGATGAATTCAAACTGACAGGGTACTTGTCCATTATGAATTTTAAAGGATTCTACTTGTAATTGCATGTACTTCACATTCTGAAAACAGAACTGGGAACAAGCCAGGGACCAGTCAGAACCAGCGCCCTCTCCTCAGCAACCTGCCCAGCCACCCCAACTGGTCCATCTTTACTCTGGAAAGAAAATGAGAGACCATCTCTCTGAAATGTTGTTTAAGTATTTACCGAGGAGACCACAGCTACCACTGAAGTCTAGTTGTCTGAGTTTAACCCCTAAACCCCCAAATTCCATTTGTTTCAGTATATACATTTCCTGAAGGAGTCAAAGTATACATCTTTTCTAATCCAAAACCATTTCCAAAATACCCTTTACAAATTCCACCCCTAAACATGAAGATCAAGTTCATCCTGCCAAGTAGCTGGACATCTAGGAAATTAAAAGTACCTTCACCATAACCCCCCATTTGATTGACTGTGTGGTACTATCAGCTTTGAATAATCTTCCCTGTGGCTCTTCCATGAAAAACCTTTTCAACTAATTTGACCTCCTTTTCTATCACTTTTCTATATTGCCTTCTATCCCATTGACTCATGGATATCCAAGAAATTCAGACTCAATTTAATCTCAAAGCAAAGCATCGGTAGGAAGACAAATCTATTGCAAGAATACACATCAGTGGGCGGCACCTGTGGCTCAGAGGGTAGGGCACTGGCCCCATATACCGAGGGTGACAGGTTCAAACCTGGCCCTGGTCAAACTGCAACAAAGCAAAAAAAAAATAGCCGGGCATTGTGACAGGCGCCTATAGTCCCAGCTACTTGGGAGGCTGAGGCAAGAGAATCACCTAAGCCCAGGAGTTTGAGGTTGCTGTGAGCTGTGACATCATGGCACTCTACCGAGGGTGATAAAATAAGACTCTTTCTCTTAAAAAAAAAAGAATACACATCAGTTATTCCAAAATCAAAACATACTTTGGATCACCCTCTGGTTTAGGAGAAAAGGACATGAACATAACCTAAGCCAATAATCTCTCTCTTCTCAGCTAGTACCACCAGCCTTAATTTATACAGAAGTAGTTTGCCAAGAGACCAGAGTCCGGGGTGGCGCCTGTGGCTCAAAGGAGTAGGGCGCTGGCACCATACGCTAGAGGTGGCGAGTTCAAACCCAGCCCTGGCCAAAAACTACAAAAAAAAAAAAAAAGAGAGAGACCAGAGTCCAATAATGTGACAGGTGCCTCCTGGAATTCTGAGCTCTCCTGGACAAGGGAGATGTAAGTTCTAAGAATTGAAGAGTCCAGTCCTAATAATCTTTTTTTTTTTTTTTATAAGACAAAGTCTCACTTTATCACCCTTGGTAGAGTGCCATAGCGTCACAGCTCACAGCAACCTCTAACTCCTGGGCTTGTCTCAGCCTCCCAAGTAGCTGGGACTACAGGCGCCCACCACAACACCCGGCTATTTTTTGTTTGCAGTTTGGCTAGGACTGGGTTTGAACCTGCCACCTTTGGTACATAGGGCCAGCACCCTACCCACTGATCCACAGGCGCTGCCCCAGTCCTAATACTCTTAACATGTCCTTCCTACCTCTCGCTTAGAGAGTGACACAGAAGGAATGTTGGCATTTTCCATCTTATCCAGAGAGCGAACAATTTCCTCCAGAGTCTTCCGGTAAAGCTCTTCATTTATGACCTTCACCTGGAAAGGAAACAGCAGCAACTCAGTGCCCTGGCTTCTGCCTCTTTCTTATTTTCCAGTATAGAGGACTTTCAAGGCCTTGGGAAATCACAGCTGATAACACAGAGTGTAAAGGCTAAATAAATTCAATTAATTTACAAATAACCTAATTACCCATGGATTAGAAAGATCCCCAGAGGCAAAGCTTGCGGTAAAAAACAATTGCTTCCTGATTGGTCAAAGGAAGATACACGGTGGGCAGTGAGTTCTGCCAGGTCGTAGGTCCTGGCTTGCTTAGTGCCTACCTCTGCTTTGCTTGCTGCCGCCACAGGCTGGCAGTGAGAAACTGTTCCAGGGCTATGATTAAAGCAGCCATTTCTCATTTATAACTATGCTCTACTGGCAAGGAAGACTGTGTCAGGCTTTCCTTTCTGTGTTTTTAGCTATAAACCCATTTTTTTAATTTTCCAATAATAAAACTTTAATTATGACATTCCTTAGGCTTTTCCAAACTACCTACACCCTTACAGATTCTGATATTCATACCCTTGAAAACTGGTAATATGAAGAAACAAAGAAGGAACTGAAAAAGAAATACAAATAGACAAGAAAACAATGAAAAGATATTCAACCTCACTAGTAATCACGGAAATATAAGCTCATACGAGAAACTTTTTTTCTTGTTTATTGGGTTGGTAAAAATCTTTAAAGATTACCAAAATCCAGCTCAGCACCTGTACCTCAGCAGCTAGGACGCCAGCCACATACACCACAGCTGGCGGGTTCGAACCCAGCCTGGGCCTGCCTAACAATGACAACTACAACCAAAAAATAGCTGGGCGTTGTGGTGGGCACCTGTGGTCCCAGCTACTCGGGGAGATGAAGCAAGAGAATCGCTTAAGCCCAAGAGTTTGAGGTTGCTGTGAGCTGTAATGCCATAGCACTCTACCAAGGGCGACAAAATTAGACTCTGTTTCAAAAAAAAAGATTACTAAAATCTAATATCAGCAAAGGTGTGGGAAAATAAGGACATACATGGTCAATAAAAGTATAAAATAGTAAGAACTGCTGGGAGGATAATTTAGCATAATCTAATAATTTTAAAATACATTATTCTTTCAACCACTAATTTCACCTCTAGTGATTTCATTCTATAGAAACACACTAATACACAAAGATAAATGTGAAGGACGGTCATGACAGTACTGCATAAAATAGCAAAACCTGGGAAGCAAATGATCATAGAAATAGACATTTTGGTTTACCCATACTATGGAATACTTTGTAGCCTTTAAAAATAACATAGGAGGCTGGGTGCCCATAGCTCAGCAGTTAGGGTGCCATCCACAAACACCAAGGCCGGCGGGTTTGAACCCAGCCCAGGCCTGCCAAACAACAATGACAACTACAACAAAAAAATAGTTGGGCAATACGGCAGGTGCCTATCGTCTCAGCTACTTGGGAGGCTGAGACAAGAGAATTGCTTAAGCCCAAGAGTTTGAGGTTGCTGTGAGCTGTGACACCACAGCACTCTAACAAGGATGACATAGTATGACTCTGTCTCAAAAAAAGTCAGACCAGGGCAGTACCTGTGGCTCAGTGAATAGGGCGCAGGCCCCATATACCAAGGGTGGTAGGTTCGAACCCGGCCCCAGCCAAACTGCAACAAAAAAATAGCTGGGCGTTGTGGCGGCACTTAAAGTCCTAAAATAAAAATGAAAGAAAAAAATAAAGTAGGGCAGCACCTGTGGCTCAAAGGAGTAGGACACCGGCCCCATATACTGGAGATGGTGGGTTCAAACCCAGCCCAGGCCAAAAACAGTAAAAAAAAAAAAAAAAAAAAGTGAGACACTGTATCAAATAAAAAAAAATGTAGGGCCTTTACTGTCATGAAATGATCTCCTAAAGCATATTCAGTAGGGGGAAAACTGTTCTCTGAGCAGTATGTTTAATACGATCTCTTTTACAGAAAAGTAAAAAACACTCTATGTTGTATACAGAATACTGACACGCTCATTTACAAATGCATAGAGAAAAAAAATCTGGAAAGATACAGCTCAAAAAGCAAAAGTAAACATCTATGCATGTATCAAAATATAGAAGCACATCCAAACAATTATTTTTTTTTTTTTTTTTTTTTTT